GTGCGTACGAAACAGAAGTGGGATATTAAATTACATCATCTAAAAAATCCATCACACCCATTCATTGATATTCATAGAATTCTAATGAATCTTTACTGAGACCAAAGCAAGTAAGATGTAAACACAGAAGCGATATATGTATATATATATATATATATATATATATATTTTTATATATATATATATATATCAAAGTATATAATTGGTATACACGGAATGAATTCCAATAACCAACAATTACTATTCTTAAAAGAGTGCTCAATACAAAGTAGAAAGATATAATTATTTTTTATAAAAAAATTTCTAACATAAGTATATTTATAAAATCACTACAAAAAATAGCCATTTTTTTCAACATCATCACTTGATAAGACACAGAGTGTGTTGAAACAAAATGGCTATTTTTAGTGATTTTATAATCTACTTATGTTATAAATGTTTTATAAAATAATATATATATATATATATATATATATATATATATATATATATATATAGTTAAACCTAGAGAAGTAGGTCTACTTACTGTATTGGAGCACTTTATTTAGTTATTTTGCCTACTCGTATCGTTTTTTTTTTTTTTCATGGGCTTTGGACTTATAGCTAGCTGATTATTTTCGGCTAAAGTACATGTCCTTTGTTCTTTTTCAATTTTTATACCTTTTTTTTCCTTTGGTATTGGTTTGATTATTTGCAAACGAACGAGTATAATTTCTTATACATAAAAAGATTATATATATATATATATATATATATATATATATATATATATATATATATATATATATATATATAGATATATGACAACACACATTTTTAGACCTACAAAGTGAAGGCGATGCTGAGTGAATGTTTTGTTGTGGTAAGAGTCAGTTACCATCCTTACTACCATGGACTGATCTATTCATGATAAGTAGTCCTGGATAATTGTCTAGAAAGAAAAGAAGATAATACTGTTTCAGTGACTTGTATAGATTAGCATTGAATACTACTATCACGACTGACTAGTTCATGTTAAGTGTTGTGTTTTCCAGACCCCACATGACAACAGGTTTTAACCCTCACTGTTATCGCGTTCATTGTGTTTGTTGTTGCTTTCGTGAAAATAAATATGAGGCATGAATTTCGGAGCGTCCTTCGTAACAAGTAGTGAAATGGGAGTGCATTTCAAAGGCAATGAAACAATCGTTTGAATTGTATACTTCATGAGTACGGAAATTTGTAAAATAATTTTTTTTGTATAGTCCGGAAATGTGTAATTAATACTTTATAACAAATACGATACATTATTTAAATTATTCGGACTATTGTCCTCATCTTTGTCGCCATATTTATTACAACGTTTCGGCCGTTGTACGCGCTGGCCTTCTTCAGGTGGTTGGAGCAACAAAGATGAGGACAATAGTCCGAATAATGTAAATAATGTACATAATAGCTCATCTCAGAAATATAGACAAACAAATACGTTAGCTAAACATGATCAAAATTGAATCTTTAGCATTAGATGGTGTCATATTCATGAACGCACCTCTCTCTCTCTCTCTGTCTGTCTGTGTCTGTCTGTCTGTCTGTCTGTGTCTGTCTGCCTGTCTGTCTGTCTGTCTGTCTCCCTCTGTCTCTCTGTCTCTCTGTCTCTCTCTCTCTCTCTCTATATATATATATATATATATATATATATATATATATAAACAAAAAATATACCACACCATTTATATATGATTTTGAAATGCATACTTTTAAAGGAACGTTTTTTTTGTCTAAAATTTCTTCAGAAAGATTCTTTGGAGCAACAATAATCAAAATGGCGAAACTGAAAAAAAAAAAACTACGGGGAGGAGTAAATAAGGAGCAATGACAAAAATAAATTTATTGCTAAAAACAATAACGCGCAACTCGCTTTGTTAATCAAATGTAGTCCAATCGCTGATTCACAAACTGACTGAATCAAGCGATTACTATTGCTAGCTCCACCCAATCTTAAATAGGCAGGTACATGTTGTCCAATCCGGTGTCCAACCGCAAGCTGGTTCGCCCCACATAGCCTCACACCGACATCTAAATAGATAAATCCCGGAACTACATTACAGGAACATCCTTAGGAACACAGGATAGTATTAAATACAGCACGCAAATTGACAGTAGAAAAGCAACATAGCCTATTAGCAAGTGTCTGCCTCCCTACCCTACCATATATATATATATATATATATATATATATATATATATATATATATATATATATATATATATATATATATATATATATATATATATATATATATATATATATATATATATATATATATATATATATATATATATATATATATATATATATATATATATATATATATATATATATATATATATATATATATATATATATATATAAGAAGTGTTTTCATTAAGACGGATTATATATAAGGGTGTTTCATTAAGACAGATCAATAAGTAAATAAATCAGTGTTATTGGTGAAAATTTGTCTATTGGATTATATTA